CCGAGCTCGGAGTGCCACGAACCAAACCACTAGGCCACCCCCCCTCAGGCGAGGGGTGGGACACCCCTGACAAATGCTGGTCAACCCGAGCTCGGATGTCAGTGGCTGCAGCGGCTGCAACGGGCCTCGCAGCAGGCTGAGTTGCGGCGCCTGGCTCAGAAGGCGCAGCAGCTTCTCCTTCCCCTGCGGCGGCGCCACGACCTGCGTCGTCAGCGCCCTGAGCAGGAAGTCCCTCGCCATCGTCACCTTTGCGCCGCTTGCGCTGCAGCCGCAATTTGTGAGCCTGATGAGCTGCCTTGACCTCCGCAGCCGTGGAGGTGAGCTGCTCGAACAGAGACTTGGACAGGTCCTGCACACCCGTCTGCAACTTCTCCAGCCTCGTCTGATACTCCTTGCGATACCCCTCAGTGACATCGTACTCGCTGCTTTCGAACTCCTCCATGATGTCAAACTTGATGATACTCGTGAGATCGAACTTGCCCTCCATGACATCCCGCAGCGGGATAACTGGGGTGCTGCACGGCCCAGACTCCGCGCCTGCACCCGTCGTTCCTGCGCCGCTGCAGTCACGAAGCCGTTCCACTGCTGCTTTGTACTCCTCATCCGCCTTGCAAAGCTGGTCCCGCGACTGGCGCACCAGCTCCTCCAGCTCTGCGGTCTCCTGCTTCCATTTGAGCAGGCGAGTGAGCTGACCCTCGAGCTGCTTCTCCATGCGGCGGACTGCTGCATGCTGCTGTTGAACCAACTGGTGAACATTGATCCCCGTGGGCTTGCTGGCAGCCTCCAGGCTGGCCGCCACATCAGCATAGTACTTACCCCTCGTAGCATCTCCCGCCTTGTACGACAGGGAGGCCATCTGCATAGCCTCTTCGACAGAAAGAGCAGGAACGGGTCCCGCGGGGAGCGGCGGGGCACCCCCACCCTTCCCTGCCGGCTGCAGCTGACCTCCTGGGGTCGAACCATGCCACTCGAACCGAAATGTATCGTTGAAACCCTTGCCTTTGCCCTTGCCGTAGCCCTTGCCTGCAGCCCCTCCTTTGCACCCCGAGGCAGTGCCAAACCACCCAGGCGGTCTCGACCAGTAGGACTGAGCACGAGGGCCAGAACGGTCAGGAGAAACTGGAACTTGGGGAAGCGTGCCATGACAGTTCTTGCACCACTTCGCCGAGGGAGCGTTCTTGCGACAACCACACCCTGGGCACTTGCTGGGCGACTTGTAGTTGTTTTGCCACTTGCCACTGCCCTTGACCTGCCACTCCCCTTCACCGTCATCACCCTCAGATGCTTGCACCCACGGGTTATACGTGAAACGAGAGGAAGTAGGAGCCATCGAGGACGTGGGCAGGGAAAGTGACAATTCGATAGCCTGAACGTGATGTGAAATGTACCTGGCGGGCGAACGCCAGGGAAAGCGGACGGGGGCCGCGCAATCCCCCCTGCCAAACCTCAAATCCTTGAGCAACCGCTACGGACTTGAGCCAAAATGGCTACGGGACTCCTCCTCCTCCTCCTCCTCCTCCTCCTCTCCTCCTCCTCCTCCTCCTCCTCCTCCTCCTCCTCCTCCTCCTCCTCCTCCTCCTCCTCCTCCTCCTCCTCCTCCTCCTCCTCCTCCGCATCCTTCTACAAGGGCCATTCGCGGGCGAGGCGGCAGGTGCGCATCTGCTTCCACAGCCAAGCAGCTCTACTTCCTCGACAGCCGCTGTCGCAGACGGCGCGCGGCCGTCTCGCCTGTGGGGGGCCGCCCTGGGGCCCCACTGGGCCGCCTCCCCGCGAGGCTGCGGGCCAGGCTGTCATCGGCGACAAACACGATTGCGCGCGGGAGTCACTACTCGACGTTAGCGGCGGAAGGACGACAGCGGAGAACACCAAAAATTGTGGCCCTTCTTGGGACCCACAAGGATCATGGCCCTTCAGGGGCCCCGGGTCGAGCCAAAACCTGTGCGCTCTCCCAGGAACGCCGCCCGCCCCCCCCGCCTCCCGAAGACGAAAGAGATCGGCCGACCGTCTCCACCGGCGCCCAGACACTCTGGGCCGCAGCTGACCCAGGAGGCGCCGAGCTAGGCTTTCGATGCCTGGGCTCGGGGCGCCGCGCCCCTCCTCCCCGGGCAGCTCCGTGCGATTCGACCACGAACACCAGTATGTCCAAGAAGCGGCGTGAGCTCGTAGCTTGATTCAGGCAGGGATTGCGGTCCAAGGCTGTATCATCAGTGCAAGCTCCAGTGTCAATGACTGCATAGATTCCCCCCGGCCCAGCACAGACGGTGGGAGTCTCGCACCTGCGACGCGCGCGCCCGCGCAGCAGCGCTCGGCGGCCTCAAAAAGCAGGCTCCCCCGAGCACCCCAGGGCGGTCTCAACACCCGACCCTGGGGGGGGGGGCCGCTGGAGACTGCGCCCGGGTGCGGAGCCCGCCCCCGACTGCTCGGGGGGGGGACCTGCTAAGGCCTCCTGGGACCGCCCGGGGGGGCGCTCTGTGCGCAACCTCCCCGCCGCACCGCAAACAGGCAGCCACGCCCAGGCTTCCCAGCTCCGCCGCGGGGCGGCCTCGCTCCCCCCAGGCCGCCGACCGCGGAGGCGAGCCGGGCAGGCATGGGGCGCTGAGCAAACCTCCCGCCGAGCCCCTGGCCTGCACAAGGAGGCCCATCGGCCCAATCGCTGCGGGGCCGCCGGCGTTTGCCCTCCAGGGATCCAACCCTCTCTCCCTCGTCCCTCCTCGCGCCGCGCTGCCATCATTGTCCTCATCATCGTCCTGATCCTCATCATCATCATCCTCAGCAGCATCATCATCATCATCATCATCATCATCATCATCATCATCATCATCATCATCATCATCATCATCATCATCATCATCATCATCATCATCATCATCATCATCATCATCATCATCATCATCATCATCATCATCATCCTCATCATCATCATCATCATCCTCATCCTCATCCTCATCATCATCATCATCATCATCATCATCATCATCATCATCATCATCATCATCATCATCATCATCATCATCATCATCATCATCATCATCATCATCATCATCATCATCATCATCATCATCATCATCATCATCATCGTCGTCGTCGTCGTCGTCTTCATCATCATTTTCATCATCATCATCATCATCATCATCATCATCATCATCATCATCGTCATCGTCATCATCAGCATCATCGTCATCATCATCAGCATACTCATCATCGTCACCTTCAGCAGCAGCATCATCATCGTCATCATCATCAGCAGCAGCATCATCAGCATCAGCATCATCATCACCACCACCACCATCATCATCATCATCATCATCATCATCATCATCATCATCATCATCGTCATCGTCATCGTCATCGTCATCATCACCATCAGCATCAGCATCATCACCATCAGCACCATCATCCTCACCAGCAGCAGTAGCAGCAGCAGAAACACCAGCAGCAGCATCCTCGTCGTTGTTGTAGCCACTAACCTCTTTCTATATTCCTCCACAGCATCGCCATCATCGCCATCATCGCCATCATCAGCATTACAAGCATCATCATCAGCATCGTCATCATCATCAACATCATCATCATCATCGTCTGCATAATCAGAAGCATCAGCTTCATCAGCATCATCATCATCATCAGAATCAGCACCATCATTGTCATCATTGTCATCATCAGCAGCAGTAACATTGTCATTATAAATACAATAATCAGCATCATCATCAGCAGCATCAGCATCAGCATCGTCCTCATCATCAGCAGCATCATCATCGTCATCCTCATCCTCATCCTCATCATCAGCATCGTCATCAGCATCATTGTCGTCATTTTCATTACCAGTATAATTATCATTACCATCATCCTTCATCAGCATCAGCATCATCATCAGCATCATCAGAATCGTCGTCATCGTCATCACCATCATCATGAGCAGCAGAATCTTCACCAGAATCGACAAATTACCGCACTTACATGTTTAACTACCTTCGGTGCCATCGCAATGATCACCATGTTACCACCACCATAATCAGCAGCAGCAGCAGCATCCCCCTCGTCATCGTTGTCGTCGTCGCTTTCCACTTCATCCGCCTCCCCATCATCATCAGCATCATCATCGTCGTCGTCATCGTCATCATCATCATCAGATCATCACCATCACCAGCACCACCACCATCATCATCATCATCAGCATCATCATCTGCATCATCATCATCATCATCATCATCATCATCATCATCATCATCATCGAAATCCTCATCATAATCATCATTAACCATCATCATCATCAGCAGCATCATCATCATAAGTATCATCGTGGTCGTCGTCGTGTCGTAGTCGTCATCGTCGTCGTCATCGTCTCCAAGTTTCTCCTTCTGCTGCTCTTCATCAGGCTATTTCTCTCCCTCTTCCTGCGCCCTTCCGTCCCACCCTTCCTCCCTCTACTGCTCCTGGCTCCACCCTGTCGGTCCCAGTCGTGAACCGGAAACACAAAATCGGCACGGGGCGCACTGGAGCAGGAGACAGGTTCAAGCTCCCGCGGAGGACGAGCGCTGGCAACAACGGGCACGGAAAAACGACGATGACGACGACGATGAAGACGACAACGACGACGACAACAACGACGACGACGACGGCGGCGGCGGCGACGGCGACGACGATTAATAGCACAGCACGGCTGTAAGTCCTCGAGAGGCGTGGGGGCACACTGAACAGGCGCCTCCGAAGCGTCGAGCGCTCACTCATTGGGAGGCCTTCGTTGTCCACCAGAAGACGTCGCGGTTGTGGGAGATTCAGGCGCAAAGCAGCGCAGGGATGGGCCCGCCACCTCCTCAACCAAGATGCAGAGTTGACCTGATTTAACCCCTATCGGCCTCCCTGCCCATTCGCAGCGCTTCTCGAGCCCGCGGGAAAGCATCGCAGCGTCACTGACTGATGCAACTTCTCCTTCTCCACGTCCTTTTCTTCCTTCTCCTCCTTCTCCGTCTGCGATGGCAGAACCAGCGGTCCCCTGGGTCCGTACTTGCTGCTGCTGCATCATCACCACAGGTCGCCCTTTGTACCCGCCCTTGGACTTGCCCTGGTTGTACGGGGAAAGCGTGACTGGCACACCTCCCGTCTGCTGAGATCGGCGGAGGGGAGGTTCGAAGAGGCCGGGAGAATCGAACTGCGCGCACGGCCCAGCATGGGGACAGAACAACAACACCAACAACAAGACTCATTTTAAGACTGATCGCCCTGATGTGCCCGTGTGTCAAACAAAACGCATCTCCCAAAACCTCGATACCCATCCCCGTCGTCTTCGATCGTACACCCCTTAGGAAAATATCTCTTCCTTACCTGCCACGTGTAGTTGACGCAGCCCCTGGAACAGGGGAAGGCAAGAAGGAGAGAAGGGACAAGGGGGAGGGAGATGGATGGGACACGAGAAACACTAGCAGGAGGGGTGTGAGGAGCAGGACAACAAGCGGCAGAATCAGACGGGCGGGCCAACTGGGCGGACCCTAACGGGCGGGTCGGGCGGGCGGGCCCAGACGGCCGGGTCGAGCGGGCGCGTCGCTGAAGCGTCAGGCCCGCATGAATCGCAAGTCTGGCCAGTGCGATAACACGATTCCCAAGTAAATCGTGAGGGAGTCCAAAGCAAGACTGTTATTGAAGAGTATCGAGGGCGCGGCGTCTCCAACAATTGCGTCTCCATCAATTGCTGGGAAGTCCCACGCGCGAGCGCGACTCTTTGATAAAATGCTATGGTATTCCCGCGCGAGAGCACGATGTTGAACCAACTGTAAGGAGGTATCACGTGGGAGCCATGGTTATTGTAGTTCGGGGCCAACAACGCAGTCTCTGTAGCTAAGGGGCAAACAACGCAGTCCAAGCCCCAATACGTCCCGTTGTTTTTTTTGTTCTAAGGGGCAAACAACGCAGTCCAAGCCCCAATACGTCCCGTTGTTTTTTTTGTTCTACCCCCCCCCCTCCCCCCCCCCAAAAAAAAAAAAACGCTGCGGGCCTCGGAAAGGGACACTTCATTTGAAAAATCATATGCTCCGGAGGGGGGGGGCTCACACATAATTGTTTTTCAGAAATGGCATCTCCAACTCTAGTTCAAGGGCTGTTCGCTTTCAGTTGCTCGCATGTCATGCAACGTGTAGATCCTAATCCGCCGACACATTCCCAGATCAACAGCAATAGTTATGCTTAGACCGTTCGCTCTCAAATGCTCGCATGTAATGCAATGTGTATCTTCCAAACCATCGATGCCTGCCCTTTCCATTTCTTGATCAAAACACCTGCAGAAGGTAATTCCTTTCCTGCAACATGTCATTGCCGCAGCCCTTTGAAACAGGATTAATAAAATAATGGGAAAGGGAGAGGGCGCGGATGAAGGGCGTGGAGAAGGGGGGAAAGAAAGAAAGGGGCAAGAGGAACGAAGGAGAAGATGGAAAACGAGAGGAATTAGTTAGAAGGAGTAACCAGAGAAAATGGCAAAGAAGTCTCAGGCGAGAGCGCGCTTCCTCCGAAAATGATGACGACGGCCGAGCGAGAGCACGATTCCAGAACCCGAAAGAGCAATTTCCCTATGATTCGTGAGGGCGTCTCAAGCAAGAGCGCGAATCCAGGACAAAATGCAGAACCGCAGATTCAGCCCAGGGGCAAGCTGACACTCAAGCCTGCAAGAGAAAAGCTCACTGCCGAGGTCTCCGACCGAGGCATCAGACGTTGGCTTACTATCTACCCAGCCGAATGCCACCATCTCTGCGAGCAGTGTGATCTGGAAGCCTTTGGGAGGGAAGGTGGTACCGGGAGGGAGGGACGCAGGAGATAGGGAAATAATACTTCATCTTGTGGGGGGGAAGAAGATGAGGAGGGGTGTGGCGGGGCAGGACGGGGGACGAGAGGAGACTGAGCTGGACGGGACGAGGTATCTGCTGCCACAATTCCGCCCCTCCGTCGATGTTGTGCTCAAGCTGCAGCAACATCTCCATCGCCGACTCATCCGCGAAATTCGCGAACGCGAATCCCTCCCCTCCACCTCCTCACGCGGCACTGCCCCCTCGGAGGCCCGCTCCCCTTCCACTGCGCTGGCAAGGCGGCACACCGATGCACATAACAGCCCAGCATAGGAGTAAGAAGCATCCTACGAGACACCAGGCCCTGACCTGCGCACTTCGCATGGAATGGCCCGCAGGTGGCTCCGTTTGCCGAGGGGGTCCATCCGGCAACGCCTCGAAATGAATACATATTCTTTGTCACCCTCAAAAGAAAGGACGTCGTGTAGCTGAGCCACTCGACAGAGTGCGGAGCAGATTAGGGCCCCCAGCTGGGCTCCCGAGGACGGGGTCCCACCCCGCCCCACCCCTCGACAACGGGGCGCCGCCCTATGGCGTGGGTCAGCCCGCCCCGCCCAGCGGGCGCGGCGGCCAAGGAGGCAGAAAGTGATGCCACCTGCTGTCACTTCACCCCTGTCCAAGTCATACCCTGCAGCAGTGCTTTGCTGAGCAGAAGACTGTACAGCGGAGGCCCATGCCAGGAAACACGCTGCTTGCCTCCGGGGTGCCTTGGGATTCTTGGATTTCGATGGTTTTGCGAAGGAACGCATGACGTCCCCAAACCAAAAATCATTGGACGTCCTGGGATCTCAGGGTTGGGTTTCTTGTGGAAGGTCTCTTGTGGACTGGCATCCTCTGTATACAGTTCTCCAAGGTTTGCGAAGCATGGAGGGGTCCACCACGGACTGCGGGGACAAAAGGGCGCGACGGGCAACAGACCAGAGGAAGCCAAATCGAGAGCTGGGGCAGCAGCCCTCGTCACAAAAAAGCCACGCCAGAGCCACCGAATCGCCAGTCGGGACACCACACCCGCACACGAAGGGGCCACTGGACCACAAAGCCCAGGATCCTGTAGGACACATGCCACCGAGTCAGCGGTCGGAACACAATGCGGCCACGAACGCACCACAGGCCACGAACCACGGGCGACCGAACCAGGTGCCGGAGCGCAAAGAGCCGTGGGCGACCGGATCCTCACACGAGGGGGCCACGGGCTGCAGACCATGGGCTCTGTGGAATCGAGGGCAAGGCAATGCCCAAAGCTCGAAGAAAGGACTAACGCTCAGCGAATCGGGTTTCGTACCACCGCCCAAAAACACGCCAGGACCACCAGGGACACAAAGGGCCCACGCGAGGAGGACACAATGAGGACGCTCCCTGTAGACGGCCCTCTCCAGCACCTTTGAACTTCCGAGCACCACAAGCCAGCTCAACGCCCCTAGCACCCTCCAACAACTTAGCGAAACGAGTGGACACAAAGATCCTTCCAACGCCAGCCAAGTACCTCCTTCCCAGTGCCTCGCACGCCCTAGCAGGAGGAGGAGGAGCCCCGCCCCACCCGACTGCGGCCAGTCCTGCCGTCTTTCATGATGTAGCAGTCCACGAACGGGTCGTACTGCTGAAAGTAAGCGTTCAGGGACTCTCTGCTCGAATTCTGCGACAGCCCCCCTGCGGCGCCACAGGTGCACAAGGAGAACTGAAGGCGGGGAACATGAGAAGGACGAGGTAGGGGCAGGACCAGTGTTAATTCAAGACGCACAAACGCTGTAGAGCAAACATGAGTGTTGGGCTGTAGCAACGTGGGTGTTGCGCTGTAGCATGTCTAGACCGTGCCAGGGCACCAAGTCGTGGGACTTTAACCATACGAAGACTTCCAATTGTTGAAGATGTTCCAAACGAACGTGCGCGGCGCGGAAGAGAGAGCCACCTATTCAAAACCACATGTGCTCGGTCCTGGAAACAACTGAAAACTGTCGCGACGAATGTGCGCGGCGCTACAGCGACAACCACATTCTGAAAACGAACCGCCCTCCATATTCGAAACGATTGCCAACTGTTGAAACGAATAGGCACGATGTTGTGGCGAGAGCCACATTTTGAAAACCACGTGTGCCCCATCCTGTAAGTGTCGCAAACGTCGCAAACGTTTGAAATGAAGGCGCGCGCCGCTAGAGCGAGAGCCACATTTTGAATTGCACACAACTTCCATGCGTAAGATTGTCACGAATTACGCATATCAGGGTCGTAAAAAGGTGAGGAATTATTAGGCGAAACGCGTGGCCCGCCCTACCGGCACGTCTGCGGATGCGACAGCGAGGAGTTGAGGAAGAGGAGGAGGAGAAGGAGGAGGAGGAGGAGGAGGAGGAAGCGGCGGCGGAAGGGGGTGGTGCAGCTGATCGTGGTGGTGCTGCTGCTAGTCGCAGTCGTGGTGGTGCAGGTCGCAGTCGTGGTGGTGCTGAAGGTCGCAGTCGTGGTGGTGCTGGTTGCGCTGGTGGTGCTGGTGGTGCTGCTGGTCGTGGTGGTGGTGCTGCTGCTCGTCGCAGTCGTGGTGGTGCTGCTGCTGGTTGCAGTCGTGGTGTTGCTGGTCGTGGTCGTGGTGCTGCCGATCGTGGTCGTGGTGGCACTGCGGGTCGCACTTGCGGTGGTGGTGCTGGTGATGGTTCTGCTGCTGGTCGCAGTCGTGGCGCTGCTCGTCGCAGCCGTGGTGCTGTTGGTCGCAGTCGTGTTGGTGCTGCTGGTCGCGGTCGTGGTGGTGATGCTGCTGGTCGTGGTGGCGGTGCTGCTGGTCGTGGTCGTGGTGCTGCTGCTGGTCGCAGTCGTGGTTGTGCTGCTGCAGGTCGCAGTCGTGGTGCTGCTGGTCGTGGTGGTGCTGGTTGAGCTGGTGGTGCTGGTTGTGCTGTTGGTCGTGGTGGTGGTGCTGCTGGTCGCAGTCGTGGCGGTGCTGCTGCTGGTCGTAGTCGTGGCGCTGCTTGTCGCGGTCCTGGGGCTGCTGGTCGCAGTCGTGGTGGTGCCGCTGGTCGCCGTCGTGGTGGTGGTGCTGCTGGTCGTGGTGGTGCTGCTGCTGGTCGCAGTCGTGGTGCTGCTGGTCGTAGTCGTGATGGTGCTGCTGGTCGCCGTCGTGGTAGTGCTGGTCGTGGTGGTGGTGATGGTCGTAATGGTGCTGCTGGTCGCACTCTCGGTGCTGCTGCTCCCGGTTGCGGTCGTGGTGCTGCTGGTCGCAGTCGTGGTGCTGCTGGTCGTGGCCGTGGTCGTGGTGCTGCTGCTAGTCGGCAATCGTGGTGGTGCTGCTGCTGGTCGCAGTCGCGGTGCTGCTGGTCGCAAACATGGCGCTGCTGGTCGCAGTCGTGGCGCTGCTGGTCGCAGTCGTGGCGCTGCTGGTCGCAGTCGCGGCGCTGCTGGTCGCAGTCGTGGTGGTGCTGCTGGTCGCCGTCGTGGTGGTGGTGCTGCTGGTCGTGGTGGTGGTGCTGCTACTGATCGCCGTCGTGGTGCTGCTGGTCGCAGTCGCGGCGGTGCTGCTGGTCGCCGTCGTGGTAGCGCGGGCTGGTCGTGGCGCTGCTGGTCGTGGTGGTGCTGCTGGTCGTAGTCTCGCTGCTGCTGCTCCCGGTTGCGGTCGTGGTGCTGCTGGTCGCAATCGTGGTGTTGCTGGTCGTGGTCGTGGTCGTGGTGGTGCTGCGGGTCGCAGTCGTTATGGTGCTGCTGCTGGACGCAGTCGTGGTTGTGCCGCTGCTGGTCGCAGTCATGGCGCTGCTGGTCGCAGTCGCGGCGCTGCTGGTCGCAATCGTGGAGCTGCTGGTCGCCGTCGTGGTGTTGCTGGTGGTCGCGGTCGTGGTGGTTGCGCTGCTGGTCGTGGTGGTGCTGCTGCTAGTCGCAGTCGTGGCGGTGCTAGTCGTAGTCGAGGTGTTGCTGCTGGTCGCCGTCGTGGTGGTGCTGGTGGTGCAGCTGGTCGCGGTCGTGGTGGTGGTGCTGCTGGTCGTAGTCGTGGTGGTGCTGCCGCTGGTCGTGGTCGTGGTGCTGCTGGTCGTGGTCGTGGTGGCGCTGCGGGTCGCAGTCGTGGTGGTGGTGCTGTTGTTGGTTCTGCTGCTGGTCGCGTTCGTGGCGTTGGTGCTGCTGGTCGCCGTTGTGGTGATGGTAGTGCTGGCCTTCGCGCGGTGCCCGTCGTCGTGTCGGGGGTACTCCCGGCACTCGTCGAAGCCCCCCGGGGCGGCCGTGCTGGCAAGCGGCTCGCGGGTGGGCCGGCGGAGTCTGCGAGCAGCACTTTGGCCAGGTCTGGGTCGTCCTCCCCGACGGCCCCCCCTAAGGCTAAGCAGCCGTCGCGCGTGAGGGTGGAAATGAGCGCGCCCGGGGCCGCGAGGCTTAGGAACCCCCACCAGCGCTTTCTACTTGGCAAGCAAGCGTACCAGCTGGAGAGAATCGCGGCCCCATCTGCCTCCGACTTCGCAGGAGAGGACGAGGAGGCGGCCTGATTGGCCGGTCGTGGGTTCGTGGTACCTGCGTCGTTTGCGCTGCCCGGCCACGAGTAGCGCGGCTCCGTCGGCGTCGACGGTGCGCGGCCAGTGCAAGCCGTCCCTGCAGAGGGGGGAGCACCAGGGTGCTGTCGCTGCAGCACAACGGGATGCCGTTCGTCTGCGGCCCAGCGGGTTGTGGACAATGGCGTTAGTGTCCCGAAGCAGCTGTTGGGGGGACAACACTCTCTCCTGCTTCCCTGGCGACCCTCGCCCAAGCTCGTTCGAGTGGTTTTGCGCGTCTGGCGAGAAGCCCTGTGCGTGGGCACGCAGCTAGGTGGCCCCCTAGCAGGTCCAGCCCGGCCCGGCAGCCTGGGCGGCCGGCAGCCCCGCACGTGTGCGGGAGGAGCAGCAGCAGGAGTCTGAGGCGCCGGCGCCAGGCTGCCAGGAACCGCGCGGGCTTAAACTCGTGTTCCTCGGTGGTGGGAAGGGCGAAAAGCAAGTAGGCGGCCCTCGGTGCTGAGGCTGACCTTAGCATGGCCTGGTTGGCCCTGGTGAGGCGCTGGGCATGACCACGTTGTCCCTGCAGTGGGTGCTGCGTGGGGGACAAGCGTGGAACTGCCAGCCGTGCCGTCTTTCTCCTGGCTTGGCGGCCTCCGAGCGCGGTGCCGAGCGCGGCGGCGCTTCTGGGCGCCGCCCATGGAGCATGTTGGTCCAGGAGGGTATCCGGGAGCCTTCGGTTTCGAGCAGCTGTGCGGCCGCGGTGGCTGCGGCAAGGTTGCCCCCACGGCCGGGCCTGGCGCCGTCGAGGAGGTCCCTGCTCGCTGCAGCTCGGCATTTCGCCACCAGCGCCTCGAGGCTCAGTCATCGCTCAGCATGCGCTGCTCTTTGCTGCGCGATGTTAAGCTCCAGGTTGTACGCCCCGCACTGAAGGCGTACGACCTAGTAGCTTTCCGGCTAACGGCCAACGCTCGCCTACCCGCGCTTCGCCTGGCGTTCTCGACCCTCGTCCCCGCGCCGCAACTGCTTCCAGTTGACGCGCTCCGTCTTGATTTTGGCCCGCCTATGTGGCGCGAGTATCGCATGTGGGCCGTGGCACGCATGTCTGGGGCATGGCCCCTACCAGTTCTCGGTGCGCCGTCGCCCCCAGTTGTCTTAGACCGTTGTGCGGCGCGCGACGCGGTGGAGGTTGACATTGGTCCTGCTCTGCGCAGTTGCCCCGCGCAGGCTGCGCGGCGCGCAGATTTGGAGGCCCGCGCCCCCCTCCTGTCGCTGTCTAACGTTAGCGTGTACATGTACCAGCTCTTCCGAGACGGGCCCCCAGCCTGCCCAGAGATGACATCATATTCTGTCCTCCGTGACTCGATTGGCCCGCAACTGTTTAGCCGCGCCGCCGGGACGTGAATCGGCTCTGGCTGGTTTCTCCAGCCGTACGGACGCGGAAGGACCGGGGCATCCGAGGGGCCCGGTGCAGCCGCGCGGCACCGTGCGTCTGAGGCGTCGGCCCATCTTCCATCGGCCAGCCTGCCCTGCAGGCCCCCTGGCCTTCCCCCGGGCAAATCGTCACCTGCGCTCGGGGTGCTTTTTTTTTTTCTGCCGTGGTGCAGTCTGGCGGGCGTCCTGTTGGCCTTGCGGGTGGCGCGCCAAAAAACTCCCCCCGGTTTTTGTGTCCCGGGCGCCCCCCTGGGCAGAAACTGGGACCGGCTTCTCTCCGGCGCGCTTTTCCCATTGCCTCGCCAACTCCCCCGAACCTGAAGCTCTGCTGCTGTCCGTCCCTGCGCAGTAGACTGCGGCGGAGGGGGGGGAGGGGGGAGCGCACGCTCTGTCGTCGAGCACTTTCTCTCGAGGTGCTGGTCAGGCAGGGGTCGCACCGGCCGTTTGGCCAGAGCGCCGTTGCTTGCGTTGGCGCCTGGGCTGACCCACGACGAGGGTGAAAGACCCTACCCCAGACGGGGCCAGCCCCGTGGCCTGTACCTCGAGCTTGCAGGAGCGGCTGCGACCTGAGGGGGCCGCGCGCCGGTGGGCGCCGGGGTGGCGCGCGCGCGGCTGAGCGGCGCTCCGGAAGCCGCCACAATGGTATAGAATGGAATTAAAAACGTGTGGACCACACTGCGCTGCCTTCTCGGGAAGCCCGACTGTCGCAAGTCGAGGAGCGACATGCGCGCGCACTGGCAGCAAAATGCCTGGACAACACAGAGGACTCGGGCTCCAAAGCGCCGCGCGCAC